TGTGGTTTTTCTCATTGGGAGCCTAACTGATAAACTTGCTCATCAAACTCCCACAGCAAATTAACACACAGGCAGGACAAAACAGCTTCATTTGCTTATGTCACACTTCTCTTTCTATTTCAGTTCCTCTCCCACATGCAGACTGGAAGTTGGAACTCTTTGGAGGATGTCAGCGATAATGCAATGCTTTCCACTAACCCAGAGGTTCTTACTGGCATTCATGAGAGTAACACGGTGGGCAGGTGGGCAACAGGTGGGCAGAGGCCAGGGATGCTACTAAACATCCAATACTGCACAGGGCATCGCTGCCACACCACACACACACACATACACAGACAGAGTTATCCAGCCCCATGTCAACAGCATCAAGGTTGGGTGATGCATAGTACAGAATGGATTACAGATGTGACATTTCTCCTCTTTCCTTATACAGGGTTCTCGTAAGCACCAAAATCACTGCCCCAAAGCAAGGCCAGTGGCAGAACAGGGAAGGATTAGGGAGAGGGTGGCCTTCTCAGGCAGGGCCAGTGCTAGTCTGAGAGGTTCAAAGGCAAAGGTAAAGAGTCCCTCACCTCCCAAATGAACTTTCCTCCCATGGAGGGAGTTGGACCCCTCCCATTTGGGGACCTATAGAGGAAAATTTAATATGGGATAAAAGTCTGGAAATGGTCTCATCAAAATATTAGTGGTAATTATGTCCCTGAGTGGTAGCATTTCAGAGATTTAAGGTTTTGGGTTTTTTTTTTAATCTGTTTGAGACAGAGTTTTGCTATGCAGTTCAGGCTGGCCTTGAGCTCACTTTGTAGCTCAGGCTGGTCTTGAACTCACAACGATCCTCCTGCCTCAGCCTCCCGAGTGCTAGGATTACAGGCATGCGCTGCCAAGCCTGGCTGAGATTTAGTTGCTTAAAGCTTACCCACATACTTTAAAATTTTCTGTAAAAATTAATATAAGTACACATGCTTCTAAAGTTAGAAAGTATGTTGCATTCACAACACCATCTCTTAAAGCCCCAATTCCTTAACTGAATGACTTTCATAGGATAATATATCAAGGTATCTCAATAATAAAGTCCATGGCTCTTCCTCACAGCAAAGGAAACAACTGATAGAATGAACAGACAACCTACAAAATTGGAAGAAATTGTTGCCAGCTATTCCTTAAACAGACAATGAATATCTAGAATAAAAAAATGGGTAACTGAAATGAATAGACACTTCACAGAAGAAGTACAAATGGCCAGTACTGTAAATAGACGAAGACATGCTCAACATCACCGGCCAGTAAAGAAATGCAAATTAAAACAACACTGAGATGTCATCTTACTCCAGAAAGAATAGCTATCATCAAGAAATCAAATAGTAACAAATGCTGAAGAGGCTGTGGGGTTGGAGGTGGAGGAGGAACACTTGTTCATTGTTGGGAGGAGTGTAAACTAGCACAGCCACTATGGAAATCAGTACGGAGTGTCCTCAAAAACCAAAACCAGAAATTCCATTTGACCCAGCCATTCTCCTTTTAGGCATCTTCCTGAAAGATTTAAAGACACTGTGATACAGTGATACATGAATACCTATACTTACAGCAGCATAGCTCATAACAGCTAAATTTGGAAGCAGCTTATATGCCCATCAACAGATGAATGGATAAAGGAAATGTGGTTTTTATACACAATGGAGTTCTATGCTGCTATAAAGAAAGACAAACTTGAGTCATTTGTAGGAGAACTGATGTATCTTGAAACCGTAATGTTAAGTGAAGTAAATGAGACACACAAGCTTAAACACTGTGTGATTTTTCTTATATGAGAAACCCAAAATATAAATAAAGAGCAAAATAAAAAGCAGATAATAGGAAGTAGGGAGATAGAACTTTTTCAACGGGAAGGGGATTAAGAGATGGAGCGGCGGAAAGATGAAAAAAACCTGAGATTGTTATGTACACTCACCAGATTCACACAAGGAATGTAATCATTATGTAATGCAAACATGTAATACTAAAAAAAAGTAATAAATTAAAAAAATAAAGTCTACAGAAAATTGTCCTTATAACTGAGTATGAGAAAAAGCTCTGCTTCGAGTCCATTAATAATTTGGAGGATGAATAAATGAAGTAATTCAGTATGTTTTATTTCTAAATGATAAGAACCATGTTGATTAGCAAGTTACTTGTCTAGAGATACATGTTAATCTCAACTACAGAAACAATTTAGACCTGTACTGGCCTGTAAGGTAGATGCATGTCACTAGACACATCTTGGTTACTTTTCTCTTGTTGCTGGGACAAAATACCCAAAGCCCAAAATGAAGGAAGGAAAGGTTTATTTAGCTTACAGTTTGTGGAGGTTTCAGTCCATACTTGGCTGGCTCAGAGGCAGAAGATAGCAAAGCAACAAGAGCAAAGGGGGGCGGGGAACGGCAGCCAAACGGCAAAGCAGCCAGAGAAAACGGGAGGAAAGGCGGCAAGCAGCTTCTTTCTCTGCCTTACATTGTAAACAGGCTACCCCCACCTAAGAGGCCTGTAGCTCTCACATAATTTCCATGCCCTCCTCTTCCACAGGCTCAGGATGTATACAAAGTAAGCACCCTGGCTTCCTGCTGAGTCACTTAGCCAAACCTCTAGACTCCCCAAGTTGACACAATGTATCAACCATAACACCACACATGACTATTTAAATGTAAATTACTTAAATATAGCACATTTCCACCACCCCAGAAAGTTCCACAAGTTCCAGGGGACAGCACCGGCACACTACTCCTTTCTCCCCCAGACTCATTTCCCGTGTTCACATTTTCTCTGCTTTTTCTTGTTACTATCCCATATGACTTTGCTGTACACAGACCTTAATTCCTTCATGGAACAATCTGGTGCATCAGCACTTTTGACACAGCTCTGTGAATCTGTATCTGGAAATCTGTTGCTGGGAGCTCAGCCTTTGTTTTTGACTGTAGGACAGAGTCAGAAACTTGAAGACTCAAAGAACAGGTTCAGGAATGTAGCTCCTCTGTCACAAAGCACAGTCTTCAGGGGCTTAGAGGGGTGGTTATTTTGTTTATTTTGGTTTTTATGAATAAAACCATAAGAACTGTTCATTACTGAAAATCAAGCTGGTTGTTTTTTTTTGTTTTGTTTTGTTTTGTTTTGTTTTGTTTTGTTTTGTTTGCAGCCCTTTTTTATTTATTTTTTTATTTTGAGACAGGATCTTACTAAGTCAGAAAGTTGCCCATGCTGGGCTCAGACTTTTGGTCCTCTTGGCTAGTCCTCCTAGAATACTGGGACTGCAGGCATGTGCCACCATGCCCAGCTCCAAAATACTATTTAATTAAAACTTAGTTTGAGGCCAGGCATTGTGGCACAGGTATGTAACCTCAGCTACACGTGAGGCTGAGGCAGGAGGCTCACAAGTTTGAAGCAAGGCTGAGCAATTTAGCAAGACCTTTGTCTCAAAATAAAAACATAATAAGGGCTGGACATGTAGCTCAGTGATAGAGTGCCCCTAATTCCATAACCTAATTCCATACTGTAAAAAAATTCTTTAGCTGGCAAATTATTTATCTGCAAAAAAAAAAAAAAGAAATTTCTTTTTCAAAGTCCAAATAAAAGGCTAAACATCAGCTTGCATCTAAAATCTTAAATATACCATTATGGAAAAAACAAATGGCCCAACTTGTTACTACTGATACGTATAATCATATAACTGCAGCCCTAGATGTGCAATGAAGGAGAATCAAGAATACAGCGCTGCCCCGGGCCTGTCTGAGACTGCCTCCCATCCCTGGGTTCCAGAGCAGTGCCGTCTCTACACAGAAGCCCATCCAACTTGAACATGTTATCAGATTTTATACTTATTTTATAAAAACGTACAGATCAAAAGCTACATACAAAAATACAAATTAATAAGCATGGCCCAAAGTGACAAATCTTTGATTTGATTCTAATCAAATGCTAAACCACAAAGTAGAGAAGTATATATATATAATATATATATTATATATATATAACAAGTAGAGAAGTACAATATATATAATATATATATATAAATCAGGGAAATACTGTCAACTATTCCTAAAAAGTTGAAGTAGAGCTAGAGAGCCTTTTACCTCTCTGGCTACAGAACCTCCCTATAAAATGCTAACTTCAGTATGTGTTTTTTCTGGAAACCGTAATTTGAGGAAAGGCTCGACATATTTATTAAGACAATTTGGGGGGACAAAAATGAGCAATATATCAATATCCTGTACTTCAATGATTTCAAAAACTTCTTGGAACTAATACTATAGAAATCACATTAATTATGGAGAAAAAAACCGACCAGCATCGCATTGCTTGGTGAAAGGTAAGGAGGACGAGCGCTAACACTGAGGGAATCTTACCCTGCTGAAAACCCTATTGATAGCTGTTTGTGCTAAGTCCGTCAGTCTACACAACCAACCTTCCCAGTAAGCGGTACGATCGTCCCCACTTGTGTAAAAGAGGAAACTGGGGCCACGAGAGGTTAGCTCATGTGCCAAAGATCGCATAGTAGTATATGATGGGGATGTTGTATCCTGTAAAGTTAAGACATATCAGGATCCCAAGCTGTGTATAAGTACAACATCTTACATTTTTAAGAAGGGTATAAGCTCATTTTTGCTGTATTTCTGAGTACAGTGCACACTACAGAACACGGGTCCCTGCGACCCTCACAACGACATCTACACATCTACGGACACACGTTTGCAGGGCCCAGGGGAGGCCCGGCCTTGGGCATCCGAGTTCCGCAGAGTTTGGGTCCCGCGGCCCCGGGTCTCCAACAAAACCGAAACTACGCTTCAAAATGAAATACGTATTTTAGTTGTTATGATGCCTCGCTCGCATCCTCCCGCGGGCCCGGACCCAGGCGGGCGGAGCGCGGAGGGCCTGGCGGGTGTCCTCCGGCTCCAGCCCAACAGACCCCGGCCTCCCGCGCGACCCCGGCTTCCGCGCGCCCCCAGTTGTTCAGTCCCCTGAGCGCTCCTCACCTAAGCCCCGGGCTCCGGCTCCCGCCCCTCTGCAGCCTCGAGGAGCAGCCGCCTCCGAAGGACCTAGGTCTGCGGCCTGGGCGGCTGCCGGCTGCGATTGGCTGCGATTGGCTGCGGGGCGGAGCAGGGGCTCCGGGGAGGCGGGACTGGGAGGATCCCGAGGCCCGTAGCAGATCAGCCTCTCTCGAGTGTCCAGCGGAGGTGAAGGGTGCACCGTAGCTGTCAGGTTCACCCCAAGACCCCTCCGCCTTTTGGGGGTGGTGCCCAGGGCCTGACTGACCAGCAGCCTAAACTTATAAAAATAAGTCCTTTGTGTCAATGGGAGGAGTACAAATTCAGGAACTCGGATGTAAGCGATTCCTTGCAAGCAACTGGGCACTTCCCTGGCCAGCAGCTCAGTCTCTCACTCCCAGGGAATGGCCCGAGAGGGTGGAGCAAGGATCTGCTGGGCAGAGTGTGGGTTCAGCGTCCCCGGGAATCAAGAGGATGGGAAACAGGTCCAGTCTCAAAGGAAAGAGTCTGAGTAGTAAAGTTGACTGCCATTTCCCACACCAAAGAGTTCTTTATTCTGTGACCTGACAGGCCTGACTAACCCAGTGAGAAAATGCAGGAGAAAAGCAAATCTTTTTATCCCCAGGCTTGACCTGGGGACTCCCCCACCTCTACTAGACTCCTGTTCCTCTCCTCAGCCACGTACTTCGTACTTCTTTTTGGATAGCTAAAAAACTTCTCAATCTTAACCTGTCTAATCCTGCCCCCATCTCATCTTTCCTACAGTTTCATCATCTCAGTGGCAACCCTGCTTTTCCAGTTTTTCCAGCAGAAAACATCACAGTTATCCTTGACTCGAGGTCCAGGGATCAGGGTGTTCTATTGCAGGACGCAGAGCCTGACCTTTTCTTATCCCTATGACTGACAACTCCTACCAGGGTTATTAGAGGGGTCTCCTCCCTATTCTGTCTGCATTCTGTCCCTTGCAGCAGCCACGGTGACCCTTAAAAAAATTAAAGTCAGATCTGATGCCTTTTCTGCCCAAAACCTTCCCAGTGGTTTCCATTTAACTTGGAGTAAAAGCCAAAGCCCTGCGTGGTCAGCTCCTCCATTACCCTTGGAATCTCACTACTGCCTTCCCCTTGGTTTTTTGTTTTGTTGTCTTTTTGAGACAAGGTCTTGCTATGCAGTTCAGGCTGGCCTTGAGCTCACTTTGTAGCCCAGGCTGGCAATTGATCCTCCTGCCTCAGCCTCTGGAGTGCTGAGATTACAGGCATGTGCCACCACACCCAGCCTTGCCTTCCCCTTGGCTTCCTTGCTCCCGTCCCTCTGGCCTCCTTGCTATTCCTCTGACAAGGCAGGCAGACTTCTGCTGAAGTGAGACCCATCCCTCTGTGGACTGCATAGCTAATTTCCCACTCCTCCTGAACTTTGTTTGCTCAAAAGCCATACTGCACTGACAGCTACCCTGGCCATCCACATTACAGCTGATTCCTTCCCTGCCCTGACTTCCTTAGAGTCATTTCTTCCCATAGCACTTGTCACCTTTTAGTATACACTGTTATTTTTTAAATTTACCTGTTTATGATCTATGTTTATGTTTATGTCTAACGTTCCCCCAGAGCCTCATGCAGTCACAGGTGGGGCTTTTTCAGAGGCAGCTGAATCTAGAGTGTGGGATTAAGGGTGTGTGATTACTAAATCAGTCCACTGATTGGCTTAGCATCACTCTAGTCCCAATAGCCTAGATAGAGTACAAAAGGAATAGAAAGAAACTGCTAAGACCCTTTATTTGTTTTGCTATCTTCTTCCCACCATGAACTGTTTCTCCTCTGCAATATCTGTCTGCCACACCACCATCCCTCGGAGCTAAATGATTATGGGCTGAAATCTCTAAAAACTATGAGATAAATAAACCTTTCCTCCTCTAACTTTGGGTGTCAAGTATTTTGCCTCAGCAATGAGAGAAAAGTAGCAAAGACAATCTGTCTCTTCTGTCCACCCACCCATGCCCTTGGAACCTCCCTGCCTCTTGGACTACAATATGTCCTTTCTTGAAAAGATAACTGCCACTGGAGGGACAATACTATCTTTTCACTGTGAACAACTAAGTCACAAGCCAAGTTCTGGATTCTGAATACACAGTCACTTTAAACCACAAGGGGAAAGGTCATTCCTCAAAATTAAATACTGAATTCTGTTACCAGGAGAAGGAACCCTGGCTAGGCAAAAATCAAAGATGGTACAAGGGGCAAGACAGGTCCCTTCAACTTCTTTCATAAGGGTACTACTCTCATTCATGAACCTCATGACTTACTCATTTCCCAAAGGCCTCAACTCTTTGTATTATCACACTGGATATTAGTGTTATGATTTAGATCTAAAATGTTCCCCCAAAGTATCATTTATTGAGAGATGCAGCTGTTGGAAGGCGATTGGTTCATAGTAGTGCTATACTCAGCAGATTAATCCATTGATGGGTTCACAGCTAAATGTGCTGTTGGGAGGTGGGTTAGTAGGATGCTACCTGGAAAGGGGTATTCTTATCCTTAGTTCCTCCTTCCCTCTCACTGTCTCTGCTTCCTGGCCACTATGCAATGAACAGCTTCCTCTGTGATGCCATTCTGCCATGCTGTTTATGCTTTGGATCCAGCCAACCGAACCCACCAAAACTGTAAGCCAAAATAAAGCTCTCTTCCTTTAAGTTGTAGTAAGGTGTCAGGTATTTTGTGGCAGTGATGGGAAATTCACTAATACAATTAGGTTCGAATATAAGGCTTTTTAGGGAGATACCAACATGTAGACAGTAGTATGTCATACATCCCAGAATTATTATAATAGGAATATGTCACTTGGGTTCCATTTACTATCCTTTGCCAGCCAGACACCTTTCAGAATCTCCTCACAGAATCAACCAGTTACTTATAAATTCATTTTGCTGTGCTGCAGAAAGTTTGCAACTATGAGATATTTTCCCTTCTGCATTTTGTCTCATCAAAATGTTAACACTTTTTTTACTTTAAGATTCACAGATACTGGGGCTGGGGATTTAGCTCAGCGGCAAAAGCGCCTGCCTGGCAAGTGCAAGGTCATGAGTTCGGTTCCTGGTACCGGAGAAAAACCAGAAAAAAAAAAAAAAAAAAAGATTCACAGATACTGACTTCTAATTCTTATTCTTTATGATAAATGCAGATGATTGGAGTGACTAAAAAGGTAGAAAGTTAAAATTTTGGAAATTTTGTGCTTAAGTTTTTTAGTTTTAGGTTTCTCTATGCCCTTCCCAGTAAAAAGTTTTCTGTAGCTTTAGCAGCAATTGTGATAACTTCATTTTAGAGCAGATTAAAACACCCTGGCCCCAGCTCCAGCTCCCTCCCCCTAAGAACATCTGCTTTCAGTTTGAAGGCTTTATAGAGAGTTGGTAGAAGTAAGCCCTTGGCGCCATGTAAATCTAGGATGTGCTGGAAAATGCAGGGAATGGAGACTGTAGTGGGCTTTAGTCTCTCTGTCATCTACCACACCATGGCATCCATCTTTCTACAAATGTTCACTGAACACATACTGTGAACACTGGTGCAGGGCACTGGGTAAACATGTTAAAGAGACAGCTCTGGAAGGCAGTACCTTGAGGATGTTGCAGATTTGGAAGCATCTCAAGCAGAAGCAAGAGAGTCAGTATCCATAGCAGCAACCAGCAGGCATGGTACTGATTTTGACCCTTTCTGAGATGCAATTTGAGGAGGGAGGTGACTGAGGAATGTCCTGCATGTATAGGTGGGAGTGATGAGACAGAAAAATGAGAAGTATATGTGAATGTGACCTTATTTATAAACATAGGTAAGAGAAGTCTGATGAGGACATCAGACAAATATCTGTGCATTCTATAATATACAGCGCGGTTCGTAATACCTAGATCTTGGAACCAGCCTACATGTCAACCAACAGATGAATGGATAAATAAAATGTGGTATTTACACACAATGGAGTACAACTCTGCCACAAAGAACGATAAACTTGAATCATTTGTAGGAAATGTAGGATGCACCTTAAGACCATATAGTTAAGTAAAATAAATCAGACATACAAATTTAAATATCTCATGATTTCTCTATATGAGAAATCTAAATTATAAGTGAGGAGCAAAATAAAAGATAGGCAATAGGAAGCAGGGGGACAGATCATTCTCAAGTAGGAAGGTGATTAAGAGATAGAAGGAGGGGGAGGGGAGGGAAGGGGATGAAAAAGGAATTATGTGTTACCTACATGTAACCATTTCACATAAGGAATGTATATATTATGCACTGCAAGCATGTATGAATAAAAATTTTAAAAATGTGAATCTCATCACTCCCCAAAAAAGAAAATTTATTGATTCATGGCAAGAGCACTATTCTAAGGGTAACATTTATCCCAGGCACAGCTGGCCTCAGTTATGCAAGTAATGCAAGTAATGCAAGTAATGCAAGTAATGCAAGTAATGGACCTGGTTTCTCTAAGTCTATCAACTACCCTTTGTTGGCTCAATCCTTGGAGAATATCACTGGCAAGATAAGACAGCAACTATCTTCATATCCTCTAAGACCAGTGTCATGGAGTACCTGCTTTATTCTCAGAGCCCCATAAAATGATTTGTTGCATCCCCTTGATCCCAATTAAGGTAACACATATCTATTTCTGGGTTACATAGTGTTCCAGAGGAAAGCAGTGATTTGATGTGGAGGGAATAGATCCAAGGCTCCATGAGCTATAGGTGGGCTGGGTAGGAAGAGGGATTCTGCTGGGGAAACTGATACAGTATCAAGAGCAAGGGTCATGGATTTGGGGCCGGTAAAAACACTGCGTGTTCACAGACTATCCCTAGGCATAAAGCCTTGTAAGAAACCTGTATTAGCTGCCTGCCTGCAGCCCCTAGCTCCCCCAAGATCACTACTTGGGCTCCCTTTTTGGCATTAGTATGAATGCTCACTGGCTGAGTATAGTACACACACCTGTAATTCCAGCACTTGGGAGGCTGAGGTAAGGAGATTGCTGAAAGTCTGAGACCAGCCTGGGTAAAAAAGTGAACTCAAGCCCAGCCTCAACTACACAGCAAGACCCTGTCCCAAGAAACCAGAAAGAA